GATACAGACATGCCACTTGAATTCAAGTTTGGTTTTGTCTCTTCCAGTGTTTTGCCACCCTAAAGCCACTTCAAAATAGCACACACACATACAAAGGAACGTAATTTGGTGAAGTTTATGCAATTGACAGGCATAGCCTCATCTAGAGCTAAGAATTTTATCCTACAAATTTATTGGAGTCTGTAACCTGTTCAGCCACTGTTCAAATTTTAGGCCTAGTAGGTTGTGATTTGGCTGAGAAGTCCATTACATCAACAGCATACACGATCCTGGGCTAGGAAATAAAATACACCTAAGTTTATAACACTCATTTATATTACAAGGGTTGAAGTTACTGGAAAATTGCTCTAGTCACTAGAATTTTTCCTATGTATTATCGAGTCTTCACTGTTGGCCTAGATGATATGTGCATAGTGATGGCTCCTCAATAATAATCTATTTCCTCTGGGAACCAAGTCCTGACCTGAACTGTGTTTGTTGAGAGTGGGTCTCTACTGCCACAAACACTTACTTGTGTAGTATCGACAGCCATGTAGTTATCTGTGATCCTTGGTTTCTTTTAGCCTGTGCTTTTTGAGATGCCTTAGCTTTCTATAGAAGTTTCCTGGGGATTTTGAAGATGAGTAGGGGTTTGAGGGGGTAGTCATATATTCAATATTTCCAGCTCCTACTTTGCCTGAAATCTTTCTCTCTCTCTTTTTATAAATGTGTGTGTATATATATATATATATATAATATATATGTTTAAGATTTCATTTGAATAGAAAAATTATGTTGCTATGAGACATTTGAATGTTAATACTCTTTGCAGGCATAAAAAAAAATCCCTATTTTCTCCACCTTATTAAATTTCTTATCAGGAGCAAATAAAATACAGATTTAAAAAGCCCAAAGGAACTTTAAAACATCATATTAATGTGAGTTAAGATTAGTGACTTTGTTTTTCTCGTCATTAGTGTGTCATTCAATCATTTGTTGAGGCATTGATTCACAAATTAAAAAAAGAACAATGTGCCAGATATTTGTGGGGCTGGAACAAGACAACAAATGATAACAAATAGCTCAGGCCATCATAACAAAGCATCACAAACTGAGTGGCTTACATAACAGAAATTTTTTCCCCACTGTTTTGGGGGCTGTAAGTCCAAGATCAAGGGGTCAGCACGGTTGGCTCCTTCTGAGGGCTGTGAGGGAGAATCTAGTCCACGCCTCTTCCCTGGTTTTGGGTAGTTTTCTGACAGTCTTTGGCTGGTAGATGCATCACCTTCATCCCCACCATCCTGGTCATGTGGCATTCTCCCTAAGTGCAGAACTGTGTCCGAATTTCCCCCTTTTATAAGTACATGGGCCCACCTTACTCCATATGACCCTGTCTTAACTAACTACATCCTCAGTGACCTTATTTCCAAATAAGATTACATTCTGAGGTACTTGGATTTAGGGCTCCAACATATGAATTCTTAGGGGAACATGATTTAATTGATAATACCCACATACCATCTACCTAAATATAAAAGTTCTAAATAAAGCTAACAAGCTAACAAATATGATGTATTTTATTCTTCTCTTATGATAAGTATACCTTCATAAACACCTGGAAGGACGGGTTTTACTTTAGAATTCTTGGAATCCTTGGAGATTCATGCTAGATTATGGTGGAATGAGAAGGGCTGGTCCCTGTCCTGCAATGTCCTGCTATTTCTTCCCACCCCTGGCTCCCTCCTGCACCACGAGTGGTCTCGTGCATGTGTCTGTGCACATTTGAGCTACATCCATATACCCTGCAAGGAGCCTTCCCTTGGTCACCCTTGGGGCCTCGACATCACTCACATTGGTGGTATAGTCTGACTTCAGATGAACGGACCCAGAGAAAAAGCCTGCACAGGTAGGTCAGCCAGGGAATTGTGGGGTCCTTAGGCACCTAGACTGTGGTCTAGAATAAGGGCTTTGGGTGTGGTTCAGAATCACAACTGGAGGAGGCAGGATTCTCTATGGGGAGGGCATCAGGGCAACTGCTCCTCTTGCTTGAATCTAAGGTCATACTGTCAGTGAAAAAACTTCTCTGTAGGCTTAGAGCTTATTGTCTAGCAAAAAGGATAAAACATAAATAATAAGCAAAATAAATAAATAAATTGTATAGAATGTCTTGAACTCCTGGCCTCAAGGGATCCTCCCGCCTTGGCCTCCCCAAATGCTGGGATTACGAGTGTGAGCCATTGTGCCAGGCCATATTGTATAGAATGTTTGAAAGTGATAGGTGAGTAATAAAACAAGTAGAGCAGAGTAGGAAGGACCTGGTGTGTACCTGGGGACGGGGCAGCTTGAGATTTCACATAGTGTGGTCATGGTTAGCTTGACGGAGATGGAGACATGTGAGCAGGACTTGGAAGAGGTGAGGGGGTGAGGCAAGAGGCTATGTGGGATGGAAGCACATTTTTGGAAAAAGAATCGAGGTGATCAAAAACTCCAGGGATGAAGCATGTCTGGAGTGCCGCTTGAGCTAGAAAGGAGGCCAGCGTTGCTTGAGTGTTATGTGCATGGGAGGATAAAATCAGAGAAACAGTAACAGGAGGTCAGATCACATAGGGCCTTTTAGGTTATTTTAAAGGCTTGCGCTTTTACTCTGAGATTAGAAGCCCCTGCAGAGTTTTGAACAGAAGAATGACATAATCATTCCAGTTGCTGTGTTGAGAATAGACTCTAAGTGGACAGAGTAAGCACAGAAACAAGAAGACTGTTTAGAAGGCAGTTATGTAATCCAGGACAAAGATAATAGCAGTAATTTGGACCAGGGAGGTAGCAGGTAGAGAGTGGTAACTGGTTGGATTTGGGATATATTTTGAAGGTAGAGCCAACAGAAGTTCCTGATGCATTGGAATATATATACATATATAATGTACATACACACATATACACATGTATATATGATCGTGTATTTCAAATAAGCCCATATCAGCTTATATCAGGCACTCAAATATTTTTAAATAAATGTATAGATTTTTACATGTTTATATGGTTGTACAGATGATCATACAAAACAGATTAAATTTCTTTGTAATTCATACACAGGAAAACATTGAATAAGTAAGGGTTTAAAAATTTTTTCAGTAATTTGAATGGCAGGGTTTAAAAGAAAACTATCTGATTCTTTTAAAGAATGTATATATATATATGTATACACACACACACACAGACAGAGAGAGAGAGGGAGAGAAATTAGGGTTGACTTCATGTTTTTGCTCTTAACAACGGAAGGATTGGTTTGTGGGTTTGCCATCAACTGAGAAGGGAAAGGCTGTGGATAAAACAGGTTGGGGGGAAAAGATCAGGAGTCTAGTTTCAGAGATACCTGAGTTTGAGATATTTATTAGATATCCAAGGAGGATATTGAGTTGATAATTGGCTACTGAGCTCTGGGATTTGGGAAGGCTTCTGGGCTGGAGTTATAAAAGTGGGAATCATCAGTAGAGGCAAGATATTTAAAGCTAAGAGAATAGAGGAGATCATTAAGGGAGTGAAACTTGATGGAAGAAGACGACCGAGGAGTGAGCCCTAGGACAGCCTGACACTGGAGGTGGTGGAGAAGAGGATGCTCCTCAGACAGAAGTCTGAGCAGAGATCAGCGTTACAAAAAGAAAGCACAAGAGGGTGTGGGATGTTGGAAACCAAGAGAAGAAAGTGTATGGAGGAAGACAGAGTTACTGATTGTGTCAAATACTGTTGATTAGTAAAATCAGATTAGGGCTGAAAAATGACCTTTGGATTTAGCTAATTGGAGGTAAATCATGACCTTGACAAAAGAAGTTTCATTGTAGTGGTGGAGGGCAAACATCTGCTTGTAATGGTTCTAAGAGAAAACTGGAGGAGAGAAACTGGACACAGCAGAGACAGCCATCCTAAAGAGTTTTGCTGCAAAGAGATGCAGGGTGAAGGATCAGCATTTGGCAGGGGAGGTAGGGTAAGGTGAAGTTTTTTTTGGATGGGCAAAATAACATCATGCTTGTATACTGAAGAGAATTATCCAGTAGAGAGTAAAGAAACGATGGTTTTGAGTAGAAGAGAATTCCAGTAGTAACGCTCTTGGGTCCATCAGAAAAGATGGGCTCAAATGTTTCTCAATGAACAAATGCACATCAACACTTTCACGTGTTTATATGGTTATGTAGATCATCATACAAAATATCTTACATTTCTTCCTTATTCACACAGCAAAAATTGCATAAGCAAGGGTTTAAATTTTTTTTCAGTAATTTTAATGGCAGGGATTTAAAAAAATATCTCCTCATTGATTCTCTTAAAGAACGTGGTATAGTGCCTTGAGTTGTACCTCCTTTGCAGGTGGAAGTCTGTAGGATTGTTTATTTAGGTCATGGTGACTAGAGGGTAGGTTCAGAAGTAAAGAAAATACTTACTGTGCGAAGATAAGATGTTTTGATCAGAAGGAACAGTTTTGATATCTTGGAGTTCTGGGATAATAAGGTTTAAATCATGCCTCCGGGTGGGAGAAATGCAGTGACGATGGATGGATTGGTGTTGAAGAGTGTGAAAAGTTACAAAGAAGTTTCTTCTAAAAATTGGATTTAACAATTTGAGGCCTTTATAGTCTTTCTGATAGAAAATAATATAGCATTCTGCTGGAGCTAACCAATTCCCTCAATAAATAAGATTATGAGCGGGTATATATGTATATACACTTTATATTTTAAAAATCTGTTACAGATATACTTAGGTTTTGACTTAATTGATGAAATTTGTTTATTTGGTTATTTTTCTTGTAAAATACATTAAAAGTATTGCTTTGAACTGTAGGCACACAATTAAAACAAAATGTGAATGATTTAAAAGATATATTAAAATTAATGCCCGTTATTATTTTACATACTGAATTTTACACAGTCAACATTCTATTGATGAGAATAGATTCTAAAAAACAATGAAAACACAGGTAGAAAATAAATAACTACAAAAGACTGATTCTGATTTTTTTTTTCTTGTGTCCTGAATACCCTATGCTATCTTTGACTACCAGGATGCCTTGCTTATGTGGTAAAGAGGCCTAGAAGTGACAAAGAAATACTAGCTAATGAATAATGCATGTGTTCATAGCAGTGGTCAAATTATACTGTTTCCTAGTGGATACCATTTTTCTTCATTGAGTGGGACACTACAGAGTTGGATGTTAATAGCTCCCACAAATACGGTTTTGCTCTTCACAATAAGCATTAAGACATGTCCTTGGAGCTCTGTGACTTCATCATACACTACCTAAAAAGGAAAAGAATAATGAAAATATAATTCAGACATGCTTAAAGATACTTTCTTTCGAATATTGCTTTTAATAAAAGACATTTAATTGCTAATATCGTGTACCCTGGAATGGATAGGTTAATGTTAGAATCTTTCATTTCTAACTTTAATTCTGAAAAGCTAAAGGTTCCACTAACATAATGGAGTTTAATGACAGACTATTTCTTAAGAATCTTAGAATTTACTGATTCCACTAAGAATTGCCCACTCCAAATTTAGTAAGACTGTAAATTACTCTCTCTAGGGAGAAATTTAAATACCCTTCACCCTTTAACTGTCCTTGAATTCTCTGTGCAATATTGATACTAGAACACCATTTTTCTTAGATCTCATTCCTTCTATAAGTTAACAATAATTTATTGTATATTTTAAAATAACTGAAAGAGTAGAATTGGAATGTTCCTAACACAAAGAAATGATAAATGCTTGAAGCGATGAATGTCTCAATTACCCTGATTTGATCATTACACATTGTATGCTTATATCAAAATATCACATGTGCCCCATAAATATGTGCAATTATTATGTATTCATAAAAATAAAAAGAAGAACATCATTTTCCTGTGTTGAAGGCCAATGAGGAAAGACAGACCAATTTCTATTATTTCTTTGTGCTATTTAAGTGCAGTACATTGTGAAGAAGTCAATCTATGGTTACTTTTATTTATTTAAAATTGCTTAGTTTTTAATTATGAAAATACATGTTCATTAAACGAAATATGTATGAAACAAAAAAAAGTACAGAAAGGGAAGGAAAATATCTGAATTTTCACCATTGGGAGATAATTACAGTTAACATTTTGATGTTCTTTTTGTTTTCTATATATAATCACTTTTTGAGAATCTGACTTGTAATTAAGCTGTATATACAGTTTTCTGTCTTGTTTTTCTTGTAACTATTTTTATTAAAAAGGATCTGTTCAGCTGTGTTTTAAAATGTCCAGAATGTGAGTTACTGGCCTCACCATTGGGGACCCACAGTGGTAAAAAGACTTACAGGTGTAGTACGACGAAGAAATTAGTTATCCATCATGTAAGGAGGTGAGAACCGAGTGGAAATCTGACATGGTTACCAGGGAAATGTCTTAGAACACATTTAGAAAAGGAATTTCATATGCTCTTACAAACTTGCTTGCTTTTTACAGCCAAGTCACAAGATAGAAATTTTCTTAATATATGCCAAAAAAAGGGAAAAAAAGCAGAAGAGAGAGCGAGAAGGAAGGAAGCCCTCTGAGTTCACTGTGCGGTCTCAGTGTGTATGGGTGTGGTTTCTGGTCCTTTGCACAGCATAGGTCTACCATTTATGAACCCATTAATCTATGAAATTCAGTTCAAGATCAATGTGTTACCTGCTCTGAAAAATGATTCATTATCAAGTAAATAATAATTCCATCCAGGGACATGAGATGCAATACAATGTTAATCCAGTCTACCCTGGCCCATGTGACTGCTCCTAGCTACCTCCTCTTCCAGAATCTTACTCTCATTCCACACAGCAGATTATCTTTTAGTTGTCTACTGTCTTTTAGTTGTCTACTATGGCTCATTCACATTATTCCATTTCATCTATTGATTTCTCCTGGGATAATAAAAAAATCTCAAAGTCCTACTACTGTAAGTCATGTTCTTTAACTATAATTGGATGCCCAGTGTTGCCTGGAAATCTTTCCAGAACTTCAGAGTAAACTCTTTCTTTTTCTCTGAGTGGCTATTTTGAGCTTTCTGAACTGTCCTCCATTTTCCTTCCTACAACACTTTGAGCAGATGAACTCCTCTCCTATTTTACAGCAAAAACAGATAAAGGGGTCCTCAAAGTGTTACTGTATATGAAGTAGAAAATTGGAACAACTCTAAGTATTAGGCCTTTGGAAAAGTCTGGCTTAAAGACCCTGTGAACTGTATGAATAAGCTCTAAATTGTAAATTTAAAAAAATATCAATAATTTATATTTATATGACTCTGTTGTCAACTGTATGTTGTGTCATTTGCATAATGGTGATAATAATCCTTACCTTTTAGCCTTGTGGGGAAGAATAAAGAGATAATGACTACTACAAAGCCTGGCGCATATTAGTCACTAATAAATTATAGCTGTAAAAGAGCCATGAAATCCACAAAAAGAAACAGTTGTTTCTTGATATTGTGCATCAGTTGACTGGAGAAAACCCTTCCAGACAGAATGAAGTCTCCTGGATATTTAGCAAGATGAAAGTCTGAAGAAATGACTTTAGGAATTAATTGCTTTCCTGGTTAAAATACAAACATTTGAACTTCCAAAATTTATATTACTTAGTAGATTTTTTTTTTCCCTGTGCTTCATTATGCAAAAGTTATTTTCTTAAAAGTGACAGGTTTTATAAACATGTAATCATGGCACATCATAGATGATATATATCTATTTTAATTGCTTTACTGCATCCATAATGTTGTTAACAACAAAGCACTCTTTTTTTAAACTGTGCAATGAATAATTAATAGATAATGCTAGCGAAGTGCTCAGATGATTAGATTCTTTGAGATTTTTCCACCAAATAATTTAATATATATTCTGCCTTCACATAAACAGAACCAAAAATGGACAGCTCTTTTTATTTCTCTTTATAATAATTTTTATCTATATGCTTGAGCCAAGTCTTCACTATCTTCTGACAAATACTGAATTTGTGCGTTTGGAATTATTACATCAAATATAAAACATTTAAAGTAATTAATATCTATTAACTTATATACAAGCATTCACTGTGCATTATTTAGGGAAAGGTCTACTAAATCATTCTAAAGTGTATTTTCATGATTGCAATGGGAGAACAATAAGACGGAAACTGAAGTGTCTCTAGTGCTGGCGGGAAGAGGTTGGAGGAAGCATAACAATAAAAAAGAGCTCAAAAGTGAGAATCAGGCAGTTCTGGGCTTGAAATCTAGTCGTGTGATTCCTGGACCTCAATGTCTTTATTTACAAATACAAGTTTCATCATGTTGCAAATATCAAATGAGATGATGATACAGATGACCATAGCTATCACTTACTGATTGTACTGTATACCTAGTATGGTGCTAGATAATCACTGCATATTCTGCAAGAGATTTTAAGCCATATAAAACACACAGAACATTTCTGTTCTGTCCTTTCTAATTTTCCTTTTAGATAATACTTTATAACAGGATAATATTTAGATATTATATTTATTATATTTAGAAACGGATACAATGTACAAAATGCCTTGACTATAACGATGTAATTCTCTTATAGAATAGAAATTCTGTAATTCTAAAGAATCATTTTTAAAAAATGATGGTTTTTAACAAGATGTCAAATGTAGTAGCGTGGAAAGAGGCTTTGGAGCGGGGATTCTGGCTCTGCTTCCTCAAGCTGTGTGGCAGCTACCCGCGTTCCTACTCCTAGCCCCAGCCCCACCTCGAGCCAGTCATGCCTCTCGCCAGGATTTGTACATGATGGGGGTTTTCAGGGTGTCTGCTGACAAAGCCTATTGGGACTCACTCTGGGAAGCATCAATTAGACAAGCTTGGCCTCCCATCAAAGCCTTCATGTTTGAAGGGCGGAGCCTCTCTGTCACTTGGCCGTGTCCCTGACCCAGCCTCTCTCATATCTGGGCATTAAGGAGAGAGAGGGCTGGGAATAAAAATAAAAAGAACTATTTTCATGAAAAGCTTTGCAAGACATTGGTATGCAATGTAATATCTCCTTTGTATTCCTCTAAGAGATTTATATAAAGAGGGGAGTGAGGTCATTCTCTCCCACTTCACAGAACATTGCGCGGCTTTGGCAGTTTGAGAAATCCCAGCTGTGGTGAGTGGCTGATGCAACGGGACTCAGTGAGGAGGTGGAAGTGGGGGAGACGTTTAAAACAAGGTAGATGCCATGTGAGAACTCACTGGGCTTTCTGGTAAGAACTGGGCTTATGAGTAAGGACATCTAGTAAGGTGTCCCCAAGGATGCATAGAAGTCATTGAGGGATTTAGCACAGACATGGGTTCTTATGTCACAACAGAGGTTAAGAGAAAAGTAAAATCAGAGTTAAAATTAGTTTTTTTGCATTTCTCATAAATATTTTCATATTGATACAAACATGGAGCATAATGGGAGAAAAATTAAAATATTGTTGCTTTTTTCCTTACGACTCTCTAAATTCAACCAGCTTCCTTGCCAAACTTGTTTATATAGTGACCCCTTATTGTCCTGATGACTACTACAAAAATAGTCATTTGTGCATGCATTGCTTCAAATTTCTGCTGCTTTGGATTATGTACAGATTGGAATTGGCTATGCATAGACCATGGTTTTTGAAGCAATTTAAAATGTATCTAGAATATAAACAGTGTGTGTTCATGCTGCAAATATAGATCGATTGGGAGGGTATTGTAGTGATTTCTAATCAGTGGGCCATAGATGTGTGAGGAACTAGAATTATTGCAAGCCATCAGAAAATTCACGTGTACAGTAAGCATTATCAAATAATCTTCACACAGGTGTCTCTACTACTGTTTTTATAGTACAGAAAGATTTAGACAAAAGTTTAAGCTTAACACAAAAGTTTATTTAAATTCTCCTGAATTGTTAGTGGCTTTTTGTTGTTATGTTTCCTTAGATTGAAGATGCTGATGTATAGCATGGAGTCTGAGAAGTTACTTGACAGTGAGGTAGAAAGTCTTGTACTCAAAAGTATGAAAAAAAAACAAGTGACATATTATGAGGTGTATATTTCTAGGTGTTGACATCATGACAAATAATAAAATTCAAATAATAAAGTGTTAAAATTTCTTTCCTTACTAATTTAGAGAATCTGTGTGTGTGCATATATATATGTATATTTTTTTACATTTTATTCCCACACAAAGTGTCACTTATAAAACTACCTCAAATTTTAATAACACATCTTCTTAAAAGCAACTGTTAAAAGTACTAAAAAAGATAAGACATTTTTCCCATACTCAAGATGTTTATGATACACTAGAAAAAAAAATGTGTAGGACTAAATAAATGATTCTAAGTGTGGTATAAGAGTCCCAGAGGAGAGAGTATTAACAAGGTTATATTTGAGGTCAGCCTCAGAGTAGACAGAGAAGGGCAGAGAGGGGTGAATGGCAGCATGAGTTCCATCACTGAAGTCACAGAAACCATTCAGGAAATGATAACCTGTCTGATGTGACCACAGAATATGGCAAGTGTGGGGCAATAAAAGGTACGAGCACACAAATATTCTTGATTGATTTTTGACAAAGGTATAAAAAAATTTGATGGAGAAAGAATTGCCTTTTCAATAAATGGTGCAGGAGTAATTAGTGTCCAAGGGGGATTTTAAAAAAATACTGATGTAAACGTCACACTTTATTAAAAATTTAACTCAAAATGGATAATGTACTTAAATATAAAGTGGAAAACTATAAACTATAAAACTTTTAGAAAAAATATAGGAGAAAATCTTTGGGACTTAGTGCTAGGTGAAGAGTTCTTAGATTTGACACCAAATGAACTGTCCATAAAAGGTAAAATTATAAGTTGTCCTCATCAAAATTTAAAAACCCTGTGAAGAGGATAAAAAGATAAGCTATAGACTGGGGAAAAGTATTTGCAAACCACATATCTGACAAAGAACTAGTATCCAGAAAATATAAAGAACTCTCAAAACTCAGCAGTAAAAATGCAAACTATCCAATTAGAAAATGGTCAAAGACGTGAAGACACATTTCACAAAAGAGGATTACAGAGGGTAATTAAGCCTATGAAAAGAAGTTCACCATCGTTAGTCATTAGGTAGATGCAAATTAAAGTCACAATGAGGTGCCACTCTATACCTATTAAAAGAACTAAAATGAAAAATAATGACAGTATCAAATGCTGGACAGGATGCAGAGAAACTGGATCACTCGTACATTGCTGGTGGGAGTGTAAGATGGCATAGGTTCCCTGAAAAAGAGTTTTGCAATTTCCTGTAAAACTAAGTATGCATCTACCACATACTCTAGCAATTATACTCCCAGACATTTGTCCTAGGGACAAATTATGCTCACACAAAAACCTATATATCAATGTTTATGGAAGTTTTTATTCCCTATATCCCTGAGCTGGAAGCAGCTTAGATGTCTTTTGGTAGGTGAAGAGTTAAACAAACTGTGGTACCTCCATACCATGGAATGGTACTCACTAATGAAAAGGAACAAACAATTATTACATGCAGCTACTTGGGTGGATTCTCAGGAATTACAGTGAGTGAAAAAAAATCTACAAATGTTACAAACTGTATAATTCCATTTATATAATATTTGAAGTGACAAAATCAGAGGGATGTAGAACAGATTAGGGGTTGCCAGGGATTAGAGAAGAGAGAGGTGTCTGAGGCTAACACAGGGTAGCACAGGTAATGCTTGTGATGGCAGTCTTCTGTATCTTGACTGTGGTGGTGATGATGTAAGCCTATAGATGTGATAAATTGCACAGAGCCAACACACACACATACATATAAGTGGGCATGCAAAACCAGTGAAGTCTAAGTGAGGTAAGTGGACTGTACCAATGTCAGTTTCCCGGCTGTGATACTGTAGTTACGCTAGATGTTATCACTGGGGGAAAGAGGTTGGAGGGTATTTGAGTTCTCTCTGTATTATTTCTTACAACTGTGTGTGACTCTATAATTATCTCAAAATAAAATACAAAATAAAAGAATACGAGGATAATATTGCTCCAAGAGACAACTCAGGAAAATTACTGAGTCAAGTTTTAGGGGCCGTGAATGCCATGTTTAAGATTTTGGACTTTCTATAGCAGACAGTGGGAAACCATGGACAAAAAAAATTTCAGCAGAGGAATAATAAATATGAGTAGTTTCTGAAAGACACATTAGGCAGAAATGTGAAAGACTTAATCAAAAAAACACTAGACATGAGGCAAACTGCAGGCTATTGCAATAGCCAATGTGACAAGGACCTCAAATAGAAAAGCAGCAATGGAACAGAAAGAAGATGGTGGATTGAAGCAGCAGGCGGCTGACAAGTAGAACTGTCAAAACTTGGTGATGAGTTGGAAATGTAAGTGAGGAAGAGGGAACTGTGGTTAGAAGGTATCTCTTGAGATGGCGAAAATCAGAGGGAAGACTGATTTAAAAGCGCCTTGGAGACAGTCGAAAGGAGCTCTCCAGTAATCAGGTAGAAGTGCAAATCAAAAGCTTGAGAGAGAAGCCAGGGTTTGAGGAATAAATTCAGTTGCAACTTACATATAGGTGATAAATGAAAATGTGGATACAGAAGATAATTTTGAAAGTGTATATACGGAGATGAGATGAGGGTGCATCCATCATGAACTTCAGCAAACAATAATATTTCAAGAGGAACAATGGCAAGGAAGGAAAATGAGAGAGTGTTAAGAGAAAATGGAAGGTGATTAAGGCAAGGAACAACTCTAGAATCAAAAGGGAGGTTTCAAGACAGAGGGTGTGGTCAGTAGGCTGGGGAGAGGAGAGCCTGAGGGCTCTTTGGATTTAGCAATTAGGAGTCTATTGATGCCACTTGAATAAAGCGCTATTAACAAAGGTCAGAATCCACATTACAAAGGATTAAAGGATGAAGAGGGAGAGGCGAAGTGAGGAAGCAGAGGAGGTTATGTGAGTTAATTTTGCAAAAGTTTGAAGGTGATAGGGAGGGAAAGAAAATTTGCTTAGAAAGGCTGAGTGGAGGAATTTTCTATTTGTTTGTTTAAGAGTTCTGAGTGGAGGATCCAGTGCATGAGACAACCTTAAGAAAAGAAGAGCAAATAATCAGCTGAACAAGGTACAGAGGAGATGGGAAAAGATGGAATCAAGAGAACAAATGTAGGGGTTTGCCTTAGAAAGAAGTTGGGGAATTGGATGTTCAAATTGGATATTACAAATGAATAAGAGAGCTACTTAAAATATAAATTAACTTTAATTTGTATTTTGTCTTTATTTTTTGTTTTTCAAAAGGGATTTTCTGAGATGTACTGTTATACATAGGATAGCTTATGATAAAATTATGCAAGGAAAATCAGGTATAGGAGACTGAGGTTAGAGAAAATAAGATGAAGTCAAGGAGAGTGTTAGTATGCAAACAAGTCTTGTGCTCTTGCTGGAGGTGAATCACAATTTGAAAATTGGTTCATAAAAGCTTTGAAAGCAGTATCTGTATTTTCCAGTGCCCATAGCATCTAGAACAGTGATCAGTATACTGTGACTATTTTGGGCAATATCCTTCCTTTATGGAATAAAGCTTCCAATTACTGCAAATTCTCCATATTTGGTTGTTAAGCTGAAAAATGGTAAGACAAATACAAAATGACTGGACAAGAGATGAATCATACTTACAATTTCATTGTAAGTGGGGTCTGTACATTTTGGAACAGATTTTGTTTTCCTCCTACGAACTTCACTGGGATATGGTAAAAGATAAAATTCAACATGTGCGCTGGGCGCAGAGCCATCTGGGAGATGCTGCAAAGGAAAATGGTTATAAATATTAATGAGTGTTGCTATCAAAGAAAACAAATACATAACTACTAAATATCCAAACCAAAGGCAGGATCAGGATTTATTACAGTCACTCTGTTTATCAGAAAATAAGAGAAAATGAAAAGAAATACATCACTGTTCAAAAATAATTCCAAACAACAGTTTAAAAGGGTAAAATTGTGTTTAATTGTGCATCTTAAATTAAAGGTTGTGCCAGAGAACTATATTTAAAAGTCCATTACATATCATTTACTTTAATTTTTTTACAGTAAAAGCTAAATTTGCATTTTTGACAGATATGGTCAAGAGATGAATATTAGCCACAAGCAGAGGCAGGAATTAAATGCCTGAGGATGTTGTACACCACTTGAAAAGCAAAAAATTCCAGTTTAACACATAAAATGAGATGTAGCATTTAATGATATGTATATGTATATTATATAATATCACATTTTAAAGCAAAATTTAATTAAAATATTGATTGAACCTACAACTTTAATATACTTACAAGATTTTAAAATGGTTATAATAATTTTATTATCTAAATTACTCTAAATTATAATATATTGGCTAATCCTTTTTAAATTGTGTTCTGTGGAGCTCCAAAAGTTGCTTAAGGAGCTGTCTGAATAGCAAAGCCAAATGAGTGGCTCTCTGGACCCTCACCCCACCCCGCACTTCTTCCTAACCTCCTCCCTCCCAAGCTCCCCCATTCTGACTTCAGAACTTCTCTCCTTCTTTTCCTTCTTTCCTTCAAATCTATTATGGATATTTTAATTTCTTAATACATCATTTGAAGAATGAGTCCACTGTTTCAAAAATTTGGAAGCCATCATTCTTGAAAGAAATGGATTCTCTCTTTGTGATCTTGACCAAATGAAGAGTAAATGGTACTAAAACTCCAAATGTCTGGTTTGATAAAATGAGAAATGTTTGTATAATTTATATTTGAGGAAGATGATTCAAATGTCAAATAAGGAATTAAGTGCTTGTTTTGTCTACTACATTCTAACTACCAAATCAGTCATTTTCAACAAACATATTTTATGCTCTTAAATATAGTGATATTCACATGTGAGCATCCTGTGCCACTCCCAACCCCATTATCTTTAATTATCTTTCCCAAGGTGTCTACTATTAAAATAAAGATATTGGTCGGAAAAGAATGGGATCCTGTAAGTTGGGATGGGGATGTGTGCGAAGATCCTGATGGCGTTTGGGATATGGAGCTACTAAATTCTGATGAGTCTTCTTTTCCAGTGGGAACAGCCTTCCCATCCCTGGTGGTATCAGCTTCTTCACTTCCCTGTACCCTCTGAGAGCATTAACTCTGCACTGCCTGAGGAAATGGTAGTGGCCTCTTCTGAGGCAGTTGCCATGAGAGACAATGCTGATGTTCCTGAGAAACCCTATCCCACTCTCACCCCTCTTTACTTCTGGACCTATAACTAAACTCAAGTCCCAGCAGCCCCTAAGGTGAGGTTCAGAGTGTGACTCATGAGGAGGTATGCTACACTCTGAAAGAACTGCTTGAGTTTTCTAATTTATACAGCCAGAAATCGGAGTAACGAATGGGAATGGATACTAAAGGTGTGGGATAATGGTGGAAGGAACATAAAGTTGTATAATTTGAATTTTTTGTTATGGGCTCACTGAGCAGAGATTCTGCATTTAATGTTGAAGTTCAGGGAGTTAGAAAGTGTTCTAACAATTTGTTAGGTTGGCTGACACATGAACCAAGAGGTGGTCCATGGTGAGTGAGTTGGAAGCCAGACCTGCCTTCATTTAATGTAGAAGAAGGGATTTAAAAGCTTAGGGAGAGTAGAATGTTACAGCGGATTTGTTGTTTAAGACCTACTCACCCACACGGGCAGTGTTCAGAAGACATATCTTTTACTGATACTTTGAAAAGTAAATTTAGAAAGGGAGCCCCAGCATCCTTGAGGAGCTCAGTGATTGCTCTTCGCCTAGGCCATACCTTAAAGTAGGAATTGCTAAGTTGGGAAACCTAAATGCAATGGGAGTAATTGGACCCCTGGGGAGTAGGGCCAAGTGGAGGCACAAAACTACCAAAGGCCAGGTGGATGTGGTTACCACAATGGACAGCAGTGTCCAAGCAGCAATCAGAATGGCCTGACTCACGCAGACCTATGGCATAGGCTAGCTGATCCTGGTGTTCCTAGAAGTGAAGTAGACAGGAAGCCTCCTAAATTCTTACTTGATCTTTGTAAGCAAAAAAATTCTAGGTCAAGTGAACAACAGACTAACCTGAATCATAAAAACAGAGAGTCACAGCCCCTCAATCAATTCCCAAACGTGAATCAGTTTACAGACCCAGAACTCCTTCAATGAGGGGAAGGCTGGGTCCCCTTGAGAAAGAACCCTTGTGCACTACCCAAAATTTATACTGTTACTCTTTCTCCAAAGAGACCTATGGGTTTTTACCAGAGTAACTGTGCACTGGGGAAAAGGAAATAATCAGACCTTTTGGGAACTGCTGGACACCGGCTCTGAATTAACATTGATTTCTGGAGACCCAAAATGTCACTGTGGTCCACTACTCAGAGCAGAGGCTTGTGGAAGTCAGGTGGGCAATAGGATTTTAGCTCAGATCTGTCTCACACTGGGCCTCGTGGATTCCCAAACCCATTCTGTGGTTATTTCCTTAGTGCTAGAATGCATAATTGGAATAGATGTACTCAGCAGTTAGCACGATCCCCACACTGGTTTTCTGATCTGTGCGGTAAGGAGCATAATTGTGGGAACGATCAAGTGGAAGTCACTAGAACTGCCTCTACCTAGGAAAATAGTAAGCCAACAGCAATACCACATTCCTGGAGGGATTTCAAATATTAGTGCAACTATCAAGGACTTGGACGATACAGAGATGGTGAATCTTACCAAATTCCCATTCAATTTGCCTATTTGGCAAGACAGATGGATCTTGAGAATGATAGTGGATTATCGTAAGCTTAACCAAGTGCTAACTCCAATTGCAGCTGCTATACCAGGTGTGGTTTCATTCCTTGAGCCAATTAGCACATCTCCTGATACCTGACTTGCAGCTATTAATTTGGAAAGTACTTTTTTCTCTCAATACCTGTTAACAAAGACCACCAGAAACAGTTTGCTTTCAGCTGGCAAGGCCAGCAATACATCTTCATTGTCATTCATCAGGGGTGTGTCAACTCTCCAGCCCTATATCACAATTTAGTTCACAGGGATGTTGATCACCTTTCCTTTCTGTAAGATATCACACCAGTCCATGACATTGATGACATTATGCTAATTGGGTCTAGTGATCAGGAAGCAGCAACTACTCTAGACTTACAGGCGAGACTTTTGCATGTCATGGGGAGGGAAATAAATCTGACAAAAATTCAGGGTCCTTCTACCTCAGTGAAATTTATAGGGGTCCAGTGGTGCAGAGCATGTCGAGATATCCCTTCCAACATAAAGGGTAAGCTGTTGCATGTAGCCTCTCCTATAACCAGAAAAGAAGCACGATGCCTAGTAGGCCTATTTGGATTTTGGAGGCAACATACTCCTCATTTAGGTGTGTCACTCTGGCCCATTTACTGAGTGACCTGAAAAGCTGCTCATTTTGTGTGGGCTCCAGAATAAGAGAAGGCTTTGCAATAGGTCCAAGCTGCTCTGCCACTTGGGACATATGATCCAACAGATCCAATCATACTTGAAGTGTCAGTGGCAGAAAAGATACTCTTTGGAGCCTTTAGCAGGTCCCTATGGTGAATTGCAACACTGGTCCTTAGGATTTTGAATTAATGCCCTGCCATCTTACATGGATAACTACTCCCCTTTTGAAAAACAGCTCTTGGCCTGCCACTAGGCCTTAGTAGAGACTGAACACTTGACCATGGACCGCTATGTTGCCACGTGCCCTGAGCTGCCCATCATGAATTGGATGTTATCTCACCCGCAAAGCCATCAAATCAGGTTTTCACAACAACACTCCATCATCAAATGAAAGTGGTATACACATGATCAGGCCTGAACAGGCCTTGATGGCATGATAAGTTACATGAAGAAGTGGCCCCCGTGCCCATGGTTCCCACTGCTGTAGGATTGCCTTCTTCTTCTGGCCTGCACCTATAGCCTCATGGTCCCTAGAATTGGTTGACAGAGGAAGAAAAGACTGAGGCCTGGTATATAGGTGGTTCTGCACAATATGCTGGCACTACCTGAAAGTGGACAGCTGCAGCATTATAACCCCTTTCTGGGTCATCCTTAAAGGACAGCGGTGAAAGGAAATGAAATCCTCCCAGTGGGCAAAGCTTCAAGCAGTGCACCTGCTCGTTCACTTTGCTTGGGAGGAGAAATGGCCAGATGTGCAATTAGAATATGTACTAATTCATGGACTGTGGCCAATGGTTTGGCTGGATGGTCAGGGACTTGGACAGAACATGACTGGAAAATTGATCACAAGGAAATTTGGGAGGAGATATTGGTTAGATCTCTCTAAATGGGCAAAAAACATGAAAATATTTGTGTCTCACGTGAATGCTCATCAAAGGATGACCTCAGCAGAGGAGAATTTTAATAATCAAGTGGATAGGATGAGCCATTCTACGGATGCTGGTCAGCCTCCTTCCCCAGCCACTCCGGTCATCGCCAAACAGGTTCATGAAAAAAAGTGGCCATGGTGGTAGGGATGGAGGGTTTGCCCGGGCTCTGGAATATCGGCTTTCATTCAACCAGGCTGACCCCGCTACGGCCACTGTTGAGTGCCCGATATGCCAACAGCAGAGACTGACACTGAGTCCCTGGGATGGCACCATTCCCCGGGCCAGGCAGCTACCTGGTGGCAGGTTGATTACACTGGATCACTTCCATCATGAAAGGGCAGTGTTTTGTTCTTACTGGAATAGATTCTCTGAATACAGATTTGCCTTTCCTGTGCAATATTTCTGCTGGAAATAACGTCCATGGACTTACAGAATGCCTTATCCACCATCATGGTA